ATGGCCGGTCATCACGCACTGCGCACACGTGTTCTGCCGGGAGTGCATCTGCACTGTCATCAGGAATGAGCGGGTAACCCTTCACCCTTCCCCTCTAACCTTTACCCTCTAACCTCTAACCTTTACCCTCTAACCTTTACCCTCCGTCTGCCAGTCATCACGCACTGCGCACACGTGTTCTGCCGGGAGTGCATCTGTACCGTCATCAGGAACAAACGGGTAACCTTTCACCCTTTCCCTCTAACCCTTCCCCTCTAACCTGTAACCTTTACCCTCTGTCTGCCCATCATCAGGAAAGAACAGGTAACCCAACCTTTGACGTCTTTAGCCGGCAGATTTTTCCCAGATTCGGTTTACCAGCTAGGTGGATACTTGGATACTTTATCAAGTCCATGAGCTGTCGTACAAAGTAGTTACATGCAGCAATTCTTCCCAGAGTTTTGACGACGTTTGTTCTCTGCTTCCTGCAGCCGAACGCCCACTGCCCGCTGTGCCGAGGGGACATCGCAGCCGAGCAGCTGGTGGAAGTGCCACCTGAGGAGGGGGGGCTGGAGCAGGGGGCCTCCAAGGTAAGGGGGGCTGGAGCAGAGGGGGGGCCCTGGCAGAGCAGCTCCAAGGTAAGGGGGGAGGTGTGTCTGTGTGAGTGTGTGTGTTTGTGTGTGAGTGTGTCTGTGTATGTGTGTGTGTGTGTGTGTGTGTGAGTGAGTGTGAGTGTGTGTGTGTGAGTGTGTGTGTGAGTATGTCTGTGTGTGGGGGTGTGGGTGTGGGTTTGTGTGTCTGTCTGTGTGTGTGTGTGTTTATGTGTATGTGTGTGTGTGCATGTGTATGTGTGTGTGTCTGTGTTTGTGTGTACAATGTATGTGTGTGTGTGAGTGTGTGTGTGTGTGTGCATGTGTGTGTGTGTGCCTGTGTGTGTGTGTATGTGTGTGTGTGTGCCTGTGTGTGTGTGTATGTGTGTGTGTGTGCCTGTGTGTGTGTGTATGTGTGTGTGTGAGTGTGTGGACACTGGAAGCAAGACAGTGTTAATGTCCATGCTGTTTGGCCCCCTGTCAGGTTGATGCGGTACTGCAGTGTCTGGAGAAGGTGAGGAAAGAAGACCCGACAGTCAAGAGCCTGGTCGTCTCCCAGTTTACCTCGTTCCTCAACATCCTGGAGTTCCCCCTCAGGTCAGTAGATGGCGCTCTTGCCACGCGCCTCGTGCTTCTATGTAAGATTAAACCTCTGAAGTCTCATTTCCTGTCTTCAGTTTCCTGCCATATTTTTTCTGAATGAATGAGTGAATGAATGAATGAATCTTTATTCAACTTGCAGACTTATAATTGTCTGAATTGTGTTGAATTTACAAAGTGTGAAATATTAAAATATTAAGTATTAAAAGCATTAACAATTATTACATTCAAAACGTTTATCCATCCAGGGAAGCGGGTTTCGAGTTAGTGCGTCTGGATGGGAGCATGACACAGCAGCAACGTGATGTAACCCAACACTAGTTACCATGGTGACAGATGTCTGGTTCAGGTCATTGAACTTATTTGACCTTCCTTGTTCCTCTGTGTAACCCAGGGAAGCGGGTTTTGAGTTTGTTCGTCTGGACGGGAGCATGACTCAGCAGAAAAGGACGGACGCCATTACTAGTTACCATGGTGACAGACATCTGGTTCAGGTCATTGACCTTCCTTTTTCCTCTGTGTGACCCAGGGAAGCGGGTTTCGAGTTTGTTCGTCTGGATGGGAGCATGACTCAGCAGAAAAGGACGGACGCCATCGCACAGTTTCACCTGGAGGGACCCGAGGCTCCCACGGTCATGCTTCTGTCCCTGAAGGCAGGAGGGCTGGGGCTGAACCTGAAGGCTGCTTCACGTGTGTTTCTACTGGACCCCGTAAGTACCAGGTGTAGGTACAGGTGTGTAGGTACAGGTACAGGTGTGTATAGCTACAGGTGTCATCATGCTGCTGTCCCTGAAGGCAGGAGGGCTGGGGCTGAACCTGAAGGCTGCTTCACGTGTGTTTCTACTGGACCCAGTAAGTATCAGGTACAGGTGTGTAGGTACAGGTATGTAGGTACAGGTACAGGTGTGTAGGTACAGGTGTCATCATGCTTCTGTCCCTGAAGGCAGGAGGGCTGGGGCTCAACCTGAAGGCTGCCTCACGTGTGTTTCTACTGGACCCGGTAAGTATTGGGTGTAGTTGTAGGTGTGTAGGTACAAGTGTGATTGTACTGCTAGATTTCGTGGACTTTTAACCAGTCTAGAAACAACACACCAAAGTCAGGGTCCAACACGGGGTGCTAGAGCTTGATTTTCTTTGTTTCCACGCAGGCCTGGAACCCTGCGGCTGAGGAGCAGTGCTTCGATCGCTGCCATCGGCTGGGGCAGACTAAGGAGGTCATCATCACCAAGGTAACCATAAACAATTGTCACCAAGGTAACCATAAACAATCATCACCAAGGTAACGATAAACAATCATCACCAAGGTAATCATAAACAATCATCACCAAGGTAACCCTAAACAATCATCACCAAGGTAACGCTAAACAATCATCACCAAGGTAACCATAAACAATCATCACCAAGGTAATGCTAAACAATCATCACCAAGGTAACCATAAACAATCATCACCAAGGTAACCATAAACAATCATCACCAAGGTAACCATAAACAAGCATCACCACGGTAATGATAAACAATCATCACCAAGGTAACCATAAACAATCATCACCAAGGTAACCATAAACAATCATCACCAAGGTAATGCTAAACAATCATCACCAAGGTAACGATAATCATCACCAAGGTAACGCTAAACAATCATCACCAAGGTAACGCTAAACAATCATCACCAAGGTAACGCTAAACAATCATCACCAAGGTAATGATAAACAATCATCACCAAGGTAACGATAATCATCACCAAGGTAACGCTAAACAATCATCACCAAGGTAACGATAATCATCACCAAGGTGATGATAAACAATCATCACCAAGGTAACGATAAACACCAAACAAAAACCATCACCAAGGTAACACCGAATACCAAGGCAACGCTAAACAACCATCACCAAGGTAACACCAAACTAAGACCATCACCAAGGTAACGATAAACTCCAAACAAAAACCATCACCAAGGTAACACCAAACTAAGACCATCACCATTTAGGTAACGATAAACACCAAAAAGAAACAATCACCAACGTATTGCCAAACACCCATTGCCAAGGTAACGCCAAATAAAATGTTTATGTTAATGTTGAAAGTATAATGTTAACCTGCGCCGATGTTAACTTCAGGTTTTGCCCCCCCCCCCCCAGTTCATAATGAAGGATTCTGTGGAGGAGAGGATGCTGGAACTGCAGGATAAGAAACGGAAACTGATGGAGGGAGCTTTCAGCAAGAAGGAGAGCAGCGAACAGCGGAGACAAGCACGCATCAACGACATCAAAACTCTCATGAGCATCTAGAACTGTTAGTACGGACAACCTCCCATCAAAACTCTCATGAGCATCTAGAGCTGTTAGTACGGGCAACCTCACATCAAAACTCTCATGAGCATCTAGAGCTGTTAGTACGGGCAACCTCACATCACCTAGTGTGGACAACCTCACATCAAAACTCTCATGAGCATCTAGAGCTGTTAGTACGGGCAACCTCACATCAAAACTCTCATGAGCATCTAGAGCTGTTAGTACGGGCAAGCTTACATCAAAACTCTCATGAGCATCTAGAGCTGTTAGTACGCACACCCTGGCATTGCCAACACAAAAAAAAACTCACATTGTAACTTGAAGAAAGGGGAACATGGACTTGTCTGAACTTTGATGGTGTTTTGAGACCAACAACTACAGTCAGAAACAGACTCGTAGTAGATTTAGTAGTACAAGTAGTAGTAGTAGTAGAAGTATTGGTAGTACTAGTACTACTGGTAGCTACTGTTAGTAGTACTTTAGTTAGTTTGTGAACAATGAAACCATCACATATTTTAGAAGACAAAGCAGAGCAGACATGCATAGCTATAGCAAAAACCAGTTCAACAAAAGATATAAAGAACTCTGCACTTTACTTACTAACCCTCAAATAACCTTTGTTTAACGGTTTAGTAAATTTTTATTTGTTCAGTTTTAATGTATTGCTTCTGATCTTTCTGTTTGCAAATCTGTCTCCATGTGTGATTGATTCGATTTAGTGAAATTGCAACAGTGCAATACATGCGGAACAGAGGCAGCTGTTGCTGGTGTTGTGTCCCGCACATGGAAACGAATACTGGACAGACAATACTCATTTTCACTTGAGGTGGGGAAATTCGTGTAAAGTGTCTTTCCCAAGGGCACAAAATCGGTGACATGTCAGGACTCGAACCCGGGACCTCTTGATCCGAGTCGCGCACTCTGCCGTTGCGCCACACAATCCCACGTGTGTGTGTGTCTGTACTCTCCAAGCAGAGGTTGTGGGGGAATGATCGTTAGCTTTTAATATATGGCCTTTTTTTTCGCTAATCCCACCAACGGTGGCCAGCGACCTTCTCTGGCTAATGGATACTGCCTGGCCAATGTGATACCGTCTTTTTGCCACCGAAAGGGATCTGCTTGGAGATTATGTGTCTGTGTGTTGTTGCCAGGCATCCTCAGTGCTGCTATTTGTAAGGAACCTGCAAATAAGGGGGAATTGTGCCATCTCTACCTGCCTTGTTTGATGTAGGATTCTGACACTTTGTGGAAACACTCATCTGCCAATCTCACAAGAAATATTTTCTCTAGGTCCGTTGGTGCTTCAAATGAGGCTCTTCAAAGATCCCATCAATGACACAAAGATGACAAACACGTATATTTGGTACCAAAACTGCAGATCTATTAAAAAGCTTTCAAAGCAAAATGAACATACACGATTATAGTAACTAAGCTATTACTTCTCCTGGTTAGTAAATGATGGTAGCTCTAATTTACCTTTACGTGGAGATATCTGAAGATATCTCACAATACCTGACACAGTCCGCAGCACCTCTGTATGTTGTATCCTAGATTATATATTTCCTTACAAATTCTACAACACCTGCACATTGTTGGTTACAGCTAACTTTAAGCAGAGTCTCACTCTAAAGGAAATGTTTAAATCTCACTAAAGCGTAGCCATTTTTACATCATGCCTTCTTGTCGACTAGCAACGCTTCTTATAACCTATGAAAGTTACATCTGATTAAAATGTCACAGGAAGTTAAAAATTATACTAGTACATTAACAGTAAGATACACAAGAAGTCTACAGATACAGCCTTATAACAGAACAGTTTTCCGTTTACCTTTAAGTAGAAGATAACAAAGTTAATGTCAACCTATAAGCTTGCTAGCAATTAGCATATATGTTAATTAAGGGCATGTAATATCTTTTTATACCACAGTGTTTGACAACCAGCCTCACTACTTAGTACACTTTGTTTAGTTCCAATCTTTTGCATGTTGATCTCCTTTACTGCTTCTGACGGTTGTCTATTCCGAATATAACGGCTACCATGTCGAACTCAATCACTTGATAAGACTTTCAAAATGTTTTCCACAAAGCTGTGATGTTTGATCTCTAACAGGTTGGACATGTGGGCTACAGAGCTGTGATGTTTGATCTCTAACAGGTTGGACATGTGGGCCACAGAGCTGTGATGTTTGATCTCTAACAGGTTGGACATGTGGGCCACAGAGCTGTGATGTTTGATCTCTAACAGGTTGGACATGTCGGCCGTCATGTTTGTCACACACTGTGGGGGCAGTAATTGGTACCAGGAAGCTCCCTAAACCGGCATTTTTTGGCTGACGTTTTCTGTTTGTGTCGAAACTTTGTCTTTTGGGGCCGAATATTATAACATCACAGTCATATCAAATCACAAATGGCCATTTGTATATTTGGTTCTTGGAGAAATCCAAAATTTTCCCAATTTCTGGCGTTATGTTTGTTTCTTTGGTTCTGTGATGTTGGTTTGCTTTGCTTTGTGCTATCCAATTTTAAACAATTTGGTCTCCATAATAATTCAAACAAAATCAGTTTTTTAATTGATTTCTCCCTTCGGGTTGCCAGCTTTTATATCACCATGATTATATATGTTTATGTGTCTATTATAACGCTCAAAGAGAGCTAAAGAATGAAGGATAGGTTCTGTAGATTGTGAAGAAAGAACAGTAAGGAGGGGGGAGGGAGTGGGGGGAGAGGGAAGGAGGGAGTGGAGGAAGTAGAAGAGAGACTTATAGACTTTTACGTTAGAACATGGCTCATGCTGAAATTTCGAGCCTCACACAGAAAACGACTACTCGGGTTTGGGGGTCGCGTTGGCAGCCTTGTCCTTTCCCCAGAGCTCGAACGAGTAGTTGTCAAAACCTGAAATGAAAAACCGTGTCCAATTAGAGCAAAGAACTGTGTGAGGAAAACAAAACTGTTCTTTACAACTGTTAGTATGGAGTAGTTAGTTACTGAATGTCTGTGTCTGGATATCTTATTGACATGATCCTAGTCCATTTTTTTAGACATTATCTTCCAACAGATTCTGAACAGTGCCTAGATATCTTACCGACACGATCCTCGGCCTGCTCCTTGACGTCACGGCCACGTCTCTTCCTCACCAGGAAGACAGCAGCAACCATCAGGAGGACGCCGGCTATCCCCGCAGCTGTCCCGACAGCGATGCAGACAGTGGGCACGGCGGAGGCTGTGGAACGATACAGAGACGTCATGTTCATACTGTCTACTGCACATAGTGGGCAATATCTGCACAACTGTCTACTGCCCTGACTGTACACTAGTGGACAGCATCGCTAAAATCAATTTTGGGAAAGATATATTGTTATGAATAAGTGGCACAGAAGACCTGATTTGTTGACGTCCATGAGTGTTATCTGGCCCCTTCATGATACACAATGTGTCCAAGGACAGGCCCAGCTGGAAAGAAGAAGTCATGGTATTTAGTTAAGCAAGGGATGGGGAGGATAATTCAGTATAATACACAAACTCTACCTTGTTTTTCTCCTCTCACAACTTTGAAGGGTCCCTGGCTGATGGTGACTGTCTCGTCCGTTTCGCTCGCACGTCGCACTCGGGCCTCGCTCATGTCAGACACAGCGCGCCTGCGTCGCGTAGCGGGGATGCAGCCCTGACTGCACCGCGAGTCCGGGTCGTCCTTGAAGCAGACCACCATGGTGCAGTGGATGTACACCTGGCATGGAGGAAAAACAACATCAGGAATCTGGTGCACCGCCAAGCTGTTCAAGGGACCCAAACACCAGGGAGTAGTCAGGAATATTCCAGTACTTTGTAAAAGGTCTCCAGTCCCAGAGAGCACCGAAATAGAAACAACCAGAGGCTAAAGCATGTACAGACATGAGGAGGCCAAACGCTAGAACTTTTCTTATCCGTAACCCTTTCAGATGCAGGCTAGTCTGCTGGCGTGAGGCATTAGAACGGAGGAGGAAGTCTTTGACACAATTATAGATGTCATCAGAGCCAATCAGAGGTCCTGTGCCAAAGTACAGGGCATCCAGTAGAGAGGTCTACAACCACCGAGTTCCAGCACCTAACGCCCGCAGATGATTGATTGATTGATTGATTGATAGCAGACTTAAGCCTTATGACAATCGAGAGACTGCCACAAAATATATTGCGCAGCGACAAACTTTAGACATACGATATCAGCACCTTATACCATGGAAATCAACTTTAAGCTGACAGTTAACCAAGACCAGCACAGGGCCAAAGTTTAGACGTTTGTCTTTGTTACCAGGCTGGGATCTTCAACGTTGGGGAAGGTGAATGATTGGATGGAGTAGTACAAGGTCATGTCGCCAGACAGTTCATTGTTCAGTTGAAGTGTTGTGTCGATGTCGCACCTATAGGAGAGAAATGGCCATGAATATCAGATGATGATTTTTCGAGTTGTCTTAAACTAAAAACCTTGACTGTCCCAGACTTCTAACACGTCGGTACTTTTGACGTACGTCACATGAAGAGTAACCTACCCGTCTTGAATGATGCTGACGCTTGGAGAGGCTTCGGGATCGTCACTTGGCGTGGCGAGGCAGTGGAGGGCGGACAGCTCCAGGTTATCCAGAGGAGAGTTCACGCTCAGTCCGAAGTGTAGCTGGTCAGACGGGGTCACCTAACCACGGAGAAATAAGGAACATGAATAACAGACGCGTTGCTTTGGGAGGACAGGCTAAGCATGTTGTTATTGTGCTACAACATACATGCATGCAATTATGACAAGCATATGATCTCCTAAATAACAAAAGGCTCAAATAAATAAACATGATCTCTGTTCAGCTCATTTCTGAACCCATCTGGACACAACGGCAGTTTGAAGCGTGGTGTGTACATGTTCAAGTGTAGTTAATGACAGACATTAGACTCAACAATCTCACCTGCACAGGGTAGTCATCTGAGGTGTAGGTCTCAGTGAAGTCTGCAGATGGAAACATGTGCATCTCGAAGGTGAACTCGGTTTCTCCGTTCACAACTTGCACACTGTACAGATAGAGAACCATGTGGGTGATTCGACAGAGAGAAATTAACCTTGATTTTTATATTTCAGTCCATACCATGGTATGGATGAAATATAATGTGTTCTCTCACGTTTCTCCTCCTTCTCCTGCCACTCATTCAGAGGGATTCAACTCCGCCATCATTCAGCCAAATGACTTGAAATTTGGCATGGAGGTAGAGTGGGCAAATACCCCCGGATTTTTGGGGGCATTTTTCGACAAAAAATGGATTTTTGGATCCTGAGCCCTGGTATTACAACCAAATGATATGGCATTCGGTATAATATGGGGAAGGTGATGGAGGACAGAGACTACTGGGCAGCCATTGTGGTTCGGGTGGCAGAGGAAGAGTGGCACCCGACTTAAGTCAAGTAAGTCAAGTGAAGTATAATATTATGAAAAACTTAAACTTTTCTCCAACTCAAAATTTGACTCATAAGAAATTTTCGACTGAATCACTCAGTCTTCCTCAGCTATCTGACCCAAATGCTGTGGACACGTGATTTTCCCCACGTGTGACGTCAGCAAAAGGGTCAAAGGTTGTCTGAAGTCGATATCGCCCCCCGTCCCGGTTGAGCGATGGTTGAAGTGCCCTGATGTATATGGCCTCTTTTATGCCTCTCTTGAAGTAATCCTGTTCGGTATCCAAGATTCTGACCCCCTCTAGATCCACTGTGTGTCTCGGTGATTCTATGTGGATGTGCTGTGACACCTCAGATGCAACAGAACTGGGTCGTCTATGTTCTAGAAACCTGGTTTTTAGTGAGCGCTCAGTTTCCCCGATATAAGTTTCCCGACAGGGGCCTCTGTTAGTGTTTCCCTGGCAGCTTATGTGGTAGACAACCCCACATTTTTCTTCCTTGGGAGTTTTGTCCTTAGGTGCCACAAGCAGTTGTCTTAACGTACGATGAGGTCTGAAACAGGTACTCACTCCGTGTGCAGCAAAGATTCTACGTAGGGGCTCAGAAACACCCTTTACGTATGGGAGGACTACAAGTGTTTTTCTGTTTTTCCCTCCCGTTCCCTGACTATCTTGGGGTTTAGACCGGGGCTGTCTGGGCTCGGAGGCTTTCCTAATGATCCACTGAGGGCAGCCACACTTCTTTAGGGCTTCTGTAACGTGATCGATCTCGGCAATTCTATCCGCAGGATCACTGATGATGGTATTAGCTCTAGGTAAAAGGGTCTTGATCACACCCAACTTGTGGTCCAAAGGGTGGTTTGAGAAAAAATTTAGATATTGGTCCGTGTGTGTCGCCTTACGGTATATGCTAACCCGCAGGGACCTATCCTGCTTGATTGTTGTTAGAGTGTCTAGAAAGGGCAGTGCACCGTCTTCTTCTTGTTCAAATGTAAACTTTATATCCGGGTCCAAACTGTTTAAATGGTCTGTGAATTCCTGTGCATAGATTTTCTTTAACTTTGTATGAGTGTCATCCAAATATCGGTACCACCAAATAGGGGGGTGTGGGGCGGTTTTTATAGCCAACTGTTCTAAATATTCCAGATAAAGATTGCACACTATGGGGGAGACAGGTGAGCCCATAGCGGCTCCGTGCCCATAGCGGCTCCGTAAAACACCCCATCATACTGGAAATATGTACACTTTAGACAAACTTGCAACAGGTCTACTAATGTTCGGGCTTCAAAGTTGTTCTTTGGGGGAGGGTTGGGTCTTCTTGTAGTCTCTGGGAAATAACACTGAGGGCCTTATCCACTGGCACCGATGTAAACAATGCAGTTACGTCGAACGATCTTAGTTCCTCATCTTCTTCCACCCTCTCATTTTTAACCAAATCTGCAAACTATTGAGAATTTACAATGTGATGTTTCGTTCTGCCGACAAGCGGAGACAAAATGCTAGCCAAGAATTTTGCGCACGGATATGTAATAGAATCAATGCAACTTACTATGGGGCGTAAAGGTATTCCGGCTTTGTGAACTTTCGGCAGGCCGTAGAATTTCGGTGTCGTCTCGGATAGAGACGACGTGATTTTTCCCACGTGTCCACAGCATTTGGGTCAGATAGCTGAGGAAGACTGAGTGATTCAGTCGAAAATTTCTGGTGAGTCAAATTTTGAGTTGGAGAAAAGTTTAAGTTTTTCATAATGTAATTTACCAACTCAGATGAACTTTCATGCTGACATTCGGTATAAGGGTACCTTGAACGTGTGTCTACAGAATAGCAGTCACGTATTTGGCATACACCACTTCCAAATGACTCATTTGGGGGACTTTAATTGCTATTTTCAGCAAAAACAGGGCCAAAAGTGCTGTACCCGTTCCACGTTCTATCTAAAGAATGGCCCGTTCCATCTGCCGTTGGCCATGGAACACGTGTTCCATTGCCAGTTACCTGAGGTCACATTGCACCTAAGTCGTGCATAATGACCCACACATTCAATTTTATGTGCCTAAGACCTTCAAAATATATCAAATCTCATCATTGTTAGTATTTGCATAACTGTAATAAGATTAGTAAAGCTTTCGAGATTCAAAGTACTTGTTCTTGCATCTTTGTTCTCATATAGCTACTATCTAATTCATTTATTTGAGAACCTTTGCCAGTTTTGCACTGGAGTAAGTTTGGAATAGTCCAGTCACTTTTTCGAGGGAGGGAGATGGACTGAAATATGCTGTATTTGCTCCCAAGCAAACATCGGCCTTTGTAGTTTTCTTCTTCTTCTTTGGCAGTTCAGTCTATGAAAGACTATCAGGGTTGCGCCTCTGATGACCTCTCATGTGGCTTGAAAGTCCGGCCTTGGTTTTGCAAACCCTGCTGCATACTCTGCATGTGTGTAGCCAAAGGTGCAGTTTGCACTGCAGCCTTTTGCAGTCTCCGTTTTGAGAAATTAACCATTCTGTGCTAATCACACATTCCGAGTGAACGTAAGCACGAATCCAGAAGCCGGAGTACCGTTAATAAGAACCTAGTAGCTGGTTGCCAGTTCATGATTCTGTACTCGCAGAAAGTACTGCGCTATCTTTAAAGAAGCGATGAGAGGTCATGTAGTGACACGTGTGACAACACTTACCTGGAAGGCGGAATGTTGAAGAGGGTGTTCTGTTCCTGTGAGATCACGAACTGACTCACGAACTCACACTGGAAACTCTTCCTGAAAGCCGCTCCTCTCACAGCGCCGCTTGCATCCACTACCGGACTGCCGATGGCCTCGTTACTGAAGATGAGTTTGTCTTCTGACGACTATGAAAACAAGTAGAAAAAAAACATTATTGAGATGGAAAGAGTTATGAACGGCATTCATTCAAGTGGCTGTCTAGGCACTTACACCTTGGGCCATATTATTGGACCACCTTGTCATTTTCAGGGCAATGCCGCTCACCTCATTCTCTTTTTCCTGTGACCGTTCCCTACATTCCAGACGTCTACTTTTTTTTAACGGTTTCGCTCAATGCAAGGCCAGTTATTTTTGGCCACTTCTAGGCATAGAGCTATAGTATAATGTAGTTATGTCAGGAGATGGCGGTTAACCTTTGTTTTGAAGCTTTGTGGATTGTAATCGGATGGAAAGCAGCTGTTTGGAAGAGAGTTCCATAATTTTGCAGTCCGGGGAAAGAAGATGTTGTTGTAAAATGACTTGTTGTATGTTGACGGTAAAATGATGTTGTTGTATGTTGACGGTGTATTGATGAGAGCTGGAAGAGAACCTAGTGGCACGTTGAAAGGTTCTGAGCGGTGGAACAAGAAGTGCAAGTTCTCCTGAACATCGACCGTGAAAGTATCTGTAGAAGAGGGATAGCGATGCAACATTGCGTCTGTGTGAGAGGGAATCCAGCTTTGCGGCCAGAGAATGGCCGATGGCAACACAGATTCTCCTTTGAATGCGGTCTAAAATATGTAGGCAGTCTTTTGGGGCACCAGCCCAGAGATGCGAGCAATACTCCATGCAAGGACGGATGGTGGATTTGTACAGATACAAAATACTTGCAGGAGTGAGGTAGTTTCTGGCTCGAAGCAGTGAGCCTACTTTCATAGCTGCTGATTTGGCTATAGATTCGATGTAGTATCTCCAGGACAAATCCTTGGAGAGAATAAGACCGAGGAGACGGAGGCTCTCATTCTCCAGCAACTCGTTGCCATTCATGGATATAGGTGGAAGAAAAGGTTCCCGGTATCTGTTGATGGAGAGGAGTTTTGTCTTTTTGGCGTTGAAAGTGACTAACCAATTGTCTCCCCATTCGACGACAGAGCGCAGATCATTTTCCAAGCCAGCTGCCATTTCTGTCTTATCCAGCATGGAACCGGGACCTTTAGAGTTGGAGTAAAGGGTGGAATCGTCCGCATAAACAGCAAGTTGGCATAGAATGTGGTCGGGCAAGTCGTTAATAAATATTAAAAAAAGTGTTGGGGCAAGAACTGAGCCTTGAGGAACACCGGCGTTGATTGAATAGGATGTAGATGACTGACCATCAAGAACGACTTTCAGCTTTCTCTCTGATAAAAAGGACGCGAGAATGTTGGCCATAGGGCCCGTTATGCCATAGGCTTCTAGTTTTCTGACAAGTCCAGCGTGCTACTTACTTATTCATTTATTTATTTATTTTCCGTCATTTTTTATACAGGGTGGTCCATTAAGTGACTGCACTTCTTTTCAATGGGGCCCTATTTTATAGCCTCTACCAGGCTTGGGGAGGCGGCTGGAAAGAGAAAAAATCGACCAAATAGAGAGCTAGAGATAAGCATGCCAAGGGAGTTTGAGAGAATATTTCGCAGCACCCCAAGCCTGTGCGGAGTCACTACGATCAAACGGTATAAAAGTACTAATCCCCTCATTAATCCAACGAAAGAACTATCTCAGCGCAGATCATTTAAGCAATAAACCAACCAGCTCGTCATGGGAAGCCGCGCCCATGTGTATACGTGTGGAGAAGACAGCCGGCCGGTACTATGGTTAAACAAACTGTATATTGTCGGGAATGAAAAAAAACTACTATAGGTATACTGATATTGGAAATAATATTAGTTAACACGGATTATTGCCGGCTGCACCACACGGTAATTTCAAATGTGGCGGGTGCGGCGCGGCCATTGCGACAGGGAAACATGCGGGTCTCATGCTGCTTATCCACCAATATCTTGATCAGCAACATGGTCGGGATGGTCTTGAATATTATAGAGTTCTCCAAAAAGCAGTTACTCAAGCAACTGGATATGATTTTGAAAACGTCAGACGTTTCAGCTAGTATCTACTAGCTTTTGTCAGTGTCATGCCAAATATGTCTTCACCTTATTTGTATATCAATCAATAGTTTGTGCTTATTAACCTGCATTTCCCCTCTGGTCTCTCAGTCACTGACGAAAGCTAGTGGATACAAGCTGAAACCTCTGACGTTTTCAAAATCATATCCAGTTGCTTGCTTGAGTAACTGTTTTTGGCGTATCGTATTACCTGGATGTCTAACCTTCATCGACGTATTATAGAGTTCTCTTTTCTATGAGTTTTGTGTTTCCTTTGACGGGGAAATGTACCGCTATGGACTTGAAATTTGACCTCTCTGAGACTTCACATAAGATAGTGATTAGTGGACCTCAAACAAATGGCGACTCCGCGCAGGCTTGGGGTGCGGCGAAATGTTCTCTCAAACTTCCTTGGCATGCTTATCTCTCTATCTGGCCGATTTCTTCTCGATCTTTTCAGCCGCCTCCCCAAGTCTGGTAGAGGCTACTGTTTTACACAGCAAACAGTCACATACAAACAGTAAACGTGGGATACAATAAATAATGATAATGGCAATAATGATAAAGAAAAACAGTAACTAACATCTATAGGAGAACTTGCGCTTGCCACATTCAAGGCTTACCTCCTGGGTCGTCCCGCACTCCTGCAGACCGGTCCGAAGAGTCACCACCGGGGGGTCCGTCTCGCTAATTGTCGCACGGCAGGTGTCGTTCAACAGGTGCATGGTGTCCACATCCACCCCTATTAGCGCTGCTCTAGGGAAGGTCACGCTCATGTGGTCCTCATGGCAGTCCACGTTCACGATAACTTCAGCTGAAAAATGACCCATGCGTCTGAGTGAGTATTTAATGTCCACAGTTCACAGCCAATCTATTCCATGCCAAGAAAGTTATTTTTATGCCAATGTTCACTTTGACTGGTTCTCACATCCATGCAAGTGAGGCGTGTTTTCTGCCTCATTTCATTCAATTAGGATGAAGGAAGCTGTACACTTACAAACTACATGTAAGCCTCCCTCCACTCATATGTCATTGCACCGACTTACCTGTTGTCTCTGTCCCACTGATCTCTCCTATTTGCTCGTCGTCCTCTCCAAACGCAGTCAGTGTGAAGTTGTACTCTGTATCCGCCCACAGTCCGCGTACGGTGGCCTGGGTGTCGCTCGGTGCTGGCGGGGGAGACAGGTCCTGGTACGAAGCCCCGGCATGGCGGTAACGGAGTCGGTATCGTGTGACGTCAGCAGACGCCGTCCAGGACAGGGTCATTTGGTCCATCTCGATATCGGAGAATGTCAAGTCAGACAAGTCTGCAGTGATACCTGTAAAGTGGACAAAAAGTTTTGGCAAGGGCTAAAGGTTCTCTTATGCTGGATATCTTTAGATCTCTTTCTGTTTCTCCATCTGTTTCTCTACCTGTTTTATCTGTGTAGTTTGTGTGCAGACCGATGCAAGTCTCGGGCCTAGTCTTGCGCTCTCGCGAGATTAGGCCACTCCGTGAACAAGATGGACTGATAGCCATCGAAAATTTGGAGGTTAGTATCCTTATCCTTCCAAGTTGTCACTGATGAAAGAATTCACTAGTAACTACAAGAAAGATTCATAATGATGTCTGGAGGATAGAATGACTTTTAATATATTATAAACTATTATAAAAACCGTTTAATATATGCGTGTGTCGGACTCCTTGCTACTAAGAGATGTGCAAGAAGACTCGTCTATACCAGTTGAGGAGCACATAATCCAGTAGTTGTAACCGCTCTTTGGTGTAACACACCAGCCTCGCAGGCACGTGGCGCGGCGGCAGCTGGCTACATTATACCAGCTTGTTACTCCGAACGCTTCAACATCTAACTCTAGACATTGTTTGAAGCTATCTAATGACAATGCCCCAAATGTACTTGGTGACAGAGAGTTCCATTCTACGAAGGTTCCAGGAAAGAATGAATTCTTGAACACCTCGATCGTTGGTTCATAAATCTAGTACTTGATGGCATGGCTATTTCTTGTTCTCTTCTGGGCCGGTACTAGGTATTTAGTAGTTGGGACGTCCGCCAGTTTATTGGACTGAAAAGAAATCTACTTGCAGGCAACAAATAGTCCAATAAACTCATTTGGCTGCAGCAGTCTTCAGCAAAGCACTGGAATAACTTTTTTTAGTTGCATTACCACATACCTATCGGACAGGCGCCTTGGTTACAAGACTCGGTCCTGTCTTCAGCCAGTCCTGTCGTTCCGTCCCCCCGCGTACATTGCGCACCTCCGTTAGCTGGTGCCGGATTGGTGCAGGTTCGGGTTTGGGTCATCTCGCCTTCACCGCAGGTCACACTGCAGTCACCATCCACCCATTCGGACCAGCCTCCATCTAAACACGTCATTATAGATGCAAGAAAAATCATAATGATGTCTCCAAGCTAAAAGAGCATGTACTTATTATGTTTCATCACCATACCAATTTCTTAAAGGCACGGTTCTGTGGTGTCCCTGTCAAAATGTAGCCTAAAGACGTATGTTCTAGATAAGCGCCTGTATGTTAAGTACAGTCGGTATAACCGCCCTTCGGCCTAGCTGCTTCGGCGTAACACACCAGCTTCGCAGGCACGCGGCGCGGCGGCAGCTGGCTACATCAGACCGATCGACTTGTTACACCTATGGCTTGAACATCTAAGTCTAAACATTGTTTGAAGCTATCTAATGACAATGCCCCTACTGTACTTCGCGACAGAAAGTTCCACTCTGCGATAGTTTGAGAAAAGAATGAATTCTTGAACGGTGACATCGATCCTTGGTTGATAACTCTGGTGCTTGATGGCAAGGCTATTTCTTGTTCTCTTCTGGGCCACTTAGTAGTTGGGACGTCCACCAGTTTATTGGACTGAAAAGAAATCTACTTGCAGGCAACAACCAGTTCAACAAACTCATTTGGCTGCAGCAGTCTTCAGCAAAGCACTGGAATAAAAACTTGTGTTAGTTTCATAAGCACATACCTATCGGACAGGCGCCTTGGTTACAAGACTCGGTCCTGTCTTCAGCCAGTCCTGTCGTTCCGTCCCCCCGCGTACATTGCGCCCCTCCGTTAGCTGGTGCCGGATTGGTGCAGGTTCGGGTTTGGGTCATCTCGCCTTCACCGCAGGTCACACTGCAGTCACCATCCACCCATTCGGACCAGCCTCCATCTAAACACGTCATTATAGATGCAAGAAAAATCATAATGATGTCTCCAAGCTAAAAAAGCATGTACTTATTACGTTTCATCCCCATACCCATTTGTTAAAGGCACGGTTCTGTGGTGTCCCTGTCAAAATATGGCCTAAAGGCGTATGTTCTAGATAAGCGCCTGTATGTTAAGTACAGCCGGTATAACCGCCCTTCGGCCTAGCTGCTTCGGCGTAACACACCAGCTTCGCAGGCACGCGGCGCGGCGGCAGCTGGCTACATTAGACCGATCGACTTGTTACACCTATGGCTTGAACATCTAAGTCTAAACATTGTTTGAAGCTATCTAATGACAATGCCCCTACTGTACTTGGTGACAGAAAGTGCCACTCTGCGATAGTTTGAGAAAAGAATGAATTCTTGAACACCTCAACCCTTGGTTGATAACTCTGGTGCTTGATGGCATGGCTATTTCTTGTTCTCTTCTGGGCTGGTATTAGGTATTTAGTATTTGGGACGTCCACCAGTTTATTGGACTGAAAAGAAATCTACTTGCAGGCAACAACCAGTTCAACAAACTCATTTGGCTGCAGCAGTCTTCAGCAAAGCACTGGAATAAAAACTTGTGTTAGCTTCATAACCACATACCTATCGGACAGGCGCCTTGGTTACAAGACTCGGTCCTGTCTTCAGCCAGTCCTGTCGTTCCGTCCCCCCGCGTACATTGCGCACCTCCGTTAGCTGGTGCCGGATTGGTGCAGGTTCGGGTTTGGGTCATCTCGCCTTCACCGCAGGTCACACTGCAGTCACCATCCACCCAGTTTGACCAGCCTCCATCTACTCGTCAAGTCAATGGAAAATACAGGAAAGATTCATAATGATGCCTGGAGGACAGAATGACTTAAGAAAAACCCTTTAATATATTTGTGTGTCGGACTCCTTGCTACTTGGAGATGTGAAAGAAGACTCGTCTGTACCAGATGAGGCGCACAAAATCCAGTAGTTGTACTCCGAGATAAAGACTAAAAAAAGGAACTTACCAACAGTTTTACAGGTTGGACCTCCCCATCCCTCCGCACACTCACAGGTGTAGGACTCTCCAGTATTGTTGCACACTCCACCATTCTGGCAAGGGTTGGGGTCGCAGTGGTCTGTGGTAACACAGGTAAGAAACAGTGTAGAGAAAACGCCTTGAGCAACCCTTAAGAGTGTTTCATACCTAGCAGCATTTCTCTCTTAAATTGTCTAAAAAATGATATACAGAGAGTGGTTCTTACCTGTACAGGTGACTCCGTCCCCGGTGTAACCGGCGTTACAGGTACAGGTGTACCCATCAGGGGAGTTGGTACAGGTGGCGTGAGTGTGGCAGTTGTGCGTGCCAGCCTCACAATTATCCGCATCTGGAGGTACAAATGATACAGTTATGTGATACATAATTCACTGGAAGCAAGAAATTTTGTTGGTTCCAAAATGGGGACTGCACACATGGGAAGTGGTGTACTTTAACTGCTGACAGAGAGTTAAAAATATGTAGGCAGGATTCTTCATGCTAATGCAAATGGGGAAGATAGTCTGATCTAATCTGAAAGTGTGATTGTCTTAAGCTTATTTTGCCAAAATGCCTCTGTTGTGTGTACCGATATGGAGGCTGCAGCCTCACCTGCACAGTTGCGTCCTGACCAGCCGATCTCACAGGTACAGGTGTAGCCTTCGTCACCACCAGTGCAGGTTCCGTGTGCACCGCACGGGGAGGCCGCACATGTAGTAGAGACTGGGAATAGGAGATAAAGTTGATAGGGTCTGTACATCATAGTGATTAACCCTTGGGGAATACAAATTTATACGCAATGACTTTGAGCTCGAGATGAAGTAAAATATCAGGGACTGCAAATGTGGAAAGTGGTGTGCAGCACGTGGGCCGTTTGTCTCTTTACCCTTCCTATGGACTTTTCAAACGTCATATATGGTTGCTAGCAGACAGTGAAGAAATATATCTAGGCAAGTTTCTTCATGCCTATGTTAATGGACAAATAGTCTAATCTAATTTGAAAGTGTGATTGTCTTATTTTGATTGCCACAATGCCTCTGTATTGTGTGTAACAACATCGAGGCTGCAGCCTCACCTGCACACAGGGAGTACATGTTGTCGTAGAGCGATCCCTGCAGGTTGTGGGTGTGAGTGTCGAAGTTCACTCCCCAGGCGTCGTCATAATAATATAAATGATAATTACTCCGCCAGCCAGGGATGTACACAAAGGTGTCATCAAGGGGCTGGCAGAACCCAGGTTCAATATTCCCACACACCTTACTGGCGAGAACCCAGTGGGTTTTACAGTCGACAAGACCGGTACCGACATACGTGATGCAGTCTGAGGTCCAGTTACCGGTACACCCAGCAGCACCTGACTCGTAGCACGGATAGTCCATGCCCGCACCGTGGCAAGTCGCGTGGACATTCTGGTTGGTCATACTGCCCGTGGATAGAACCTTATAAAAGGCCCAGTTGTCGTGAGTGGCCAGGTACACCTGATCTTCTGAAAGGGTGAAAAGTCTTGTTACCAGTAAATGTTTTTAGCCATCGGTGTCAGAAAGATGTACAGTGGACAGGTATTCACTTTGACCTTCAATGTGCAAGATTTGAAAATTATTTCAACATATCTAATAGGGATCAAAATAGAAATTAAGTAGCACTGTTTGTCTGAGTTCTCACATTGAAGTACCAGACGATAATTGCATTCACTCTCTGATTGCCACATAATCCTAGACCACAGCATGTGCAGGACTAAAGATGTATGGAAACACTGCTATGATAGTATGATAGAATTTCCTTCGTAGTCCTAATTTACATACTTTACATGTCACTTCACATTTCATTGCAAAAAAATATGTACAGCCGATTGTTCTTACCTGTACAGGCAAGGGTTGGGGTCGCAGTGGTCTGTGGTCACACAGGTCACAAACAGTGTGGACAACCCTTAAGAATGTTGCATATCTAGCAGCATTCCTCTCTTAAATTCTCTCAAATGATATACAGCGAGATTGTTCTTACGTGTACAGGTGTTTCCGTCTCCGCTGTAACCGCTGTTACAGTCACAGATGAACCCATCAGGGAAGTTGGTACAGGTGGCGTCACTGTCGCAGTGGTACGAGCCATTCATACAATTATCCGCATCTGGAGGTACAAATGATACAGTTATGTGATACATAATTCACTGGAAGCAAGAAATTTTGTAGGTTCCAAAATGGGGACTGCACACATGGGAAGTGGTGTACTTTAACTGCTGACAGAGAGTTAAAAATATGTAGGCAGGATTCTTCATGCTAATGCAAATGGGGAAGATAGTCTGATCTAATCTGAAAGTGTGATTGTCTTAAGCTTATTTTGCCAAAATGCCTCTGTTGTGTGTAACGATATGGAGGCTGCAGCCTCACCTGCACACAGGGCGTACATGTTGTAGTAGTCCGCTCCCCGCAGTGCGATGGTGTGATTGTCGTAGTCCACTCCCCAGGCGCTGTCATCACTCTGCCAGCCGGGGTAGTTCACAAAGATGTCATCAAGGGGCTGGCAGTACTGAGGGTCCCAGATTCCACACAGTTTACTGGCGAGGACCCGGTGGGCTTCACAGTAGATACCGGGCGAGTGGTCATACGTGATGCAGTCTGAGGTCCAGTGGGTACCGGTGAAGGAGGTCCAGCCGTTGAAACACCCATCAGTGCCCACAGGACCTGACCAGTAGCACGGATAGTCCATCCCAGTCGCGGTACAAGCGGATTTCACGTTGGTACCGGTCATAGGTCCTGACACAAGAACCTTATAAAAGGCCCAGTCGTCGTGTGTGGTCAGGTACACTGGTTCTTCTGAAAGGGTGAAAAATCTTGTTATCATCAGTAAATGTTTTTGTCATCGCTGTTAGAATAATTGAACTTCCAACCGTCAACCGTGGTCAGGTACTCACTTTGACCTTCAATATTCAAGATCTGAAAATAATTTCAACGTATCTGACTGGAGGGATCAAAATAGAAATTAAGTTCACTGTTTGTCTGATTTATAACATTGAAGTACCAGAGAATAATTACATTCACACTCTGAACACCACAGCATGCGCAGGACTAAAGATGTATGGAAACACTGCTATGAGCTAAGAGTGTAATACGATTTCCGTCGAAGTCCTATGTTACATACTTTAATATGTCACTGTTCATCTCTTTTTAAGATACCCGCATTTAGAAAATCGTATCTTTAGTTTTCCTCCTATCCCCTTAACTGTCTTTTCCAAGATTTCGTTATCATTCGATCTATAGTTGAATTGCTCTTGTGTCTTGCTGAGGAAAAATCTATGTCACGTGTCGGATAATTTCGCCTTTTTGTGAGATTTTAGTGAGATGTGCTGAGCAGCAACAGTCTCATTAGATAAACACACGGTATAAAAGAATGTTGATAAAAAAACCTTACCTTGACCAGTCACAGAAGTGCCCATAAGGACGAAGACGAGCAGCCCCACGGGTAGCGACACACGCGGGTCCATCCTGTCTCCGGATGTCCGGTAGCTCACCTGGAAAAAGTCACAACAAGTTTACCTGAGAGCATGTTGCACTGAGCAGCAGACAACGCGGACGATGATAACATTATAACAGTGTGCGTCTAACGAAATTAGTTAATGCAAACTGCACAGTAACATGTTTGTGAATGAAACGTTCTAACAGGGAACCCGGATCCAGTCTCATTGAAGACGCGCGCGTTCTGGAAGCCAGTATTGTAGGATTTAGAAATATCTGCCGCGCAAGAGCCCCAAGGCACTTGGGGCCGACAAACGTGGGCATGAGGGCCATGGCACACCTCACACGGGAACTAAAACAAAACTTGTGACTCTACAGACTTCTACCAACATGACATATCGTCAGGAGATAACGAAGAATAACAAAACAGAATATATGCGTACGTTTGCCTTTCATCCAACGTCTTTGGAAATAAAGCTTACACATGAACTCGTTTAACCCCGATATTTGTGGTCACTAAGTCTTTCAGCCTCCAGGCATGTTCCTGACAATCAAAGCCTTTCATATATGACACGGGCTCAAACTTCAAACACGTTTGTCGCTTTGAATACACGTAAAGCTTTGGTCCCAATTGGAGAAAGGGGCCCTGTCGGGTAGTGCCCGAGCTGTTTTTTGGCATTTTCGGGCGTGACCCCTACGTGGCCCGGTGGGACACCCCGCGGCGACCGGGCTATTTTTTTTGGCCCGGTGGGGACCCGAGAAGAATTTAATTCCCGGGTCCCGCTGACAAAAAGACGCCGTGACCTCATCGTGAGAACACCGACATCGTGAGGACACCGACATCGTGAGGACGCCGACATCGTGAGAACACCGACATCGTGAGAACGCCGACATCGTGAGGACACCGACATCGTGAGAACACCGACATCGTGAGAACACCGACATCGTGAGAACGCCGACATCGTGAGGACACCGACCGGGACTAATTTTGATACGTCACAGACCAGATACACACAATAAGGGTGTGTACTTCGTAAGACCGTGTCAAATGTTTGGCGCCATAGATCAGATGATCACAACAAAAGCGTGAACTCTATTAAGTGGGTCAGTACAAGACATCGTCAGAGAAGCTGCCACGTATCTGCCGGGTGCCCGTCGGAGACCAAATAAGGGGAACAAAATGTCACTGAAGGAAACTTTTAATTGTGACCACAACAACCGGTGTGTGTGTGTGTGTGTGTGTGTGTGTGTGTGTGTGTGTGTGTGTGTGTGTGTGTGTGTGTGTGAGGGTGTGTGTTGCTGTACTTGTTGGTGTGTGGCAGTTCAAGTAAATTCCGCAAGTGGCGCGCCGGTATCATTTCGGACCTAGCCCGTTGAAGGACACCTTTAGCCCGAGGACGTTTTAACCGCTTCAGTCACTTCATACCCACTGAAGCCAATAATCCACAAGCATGCATTAAACAACAGGGGAGCGTCCATTTTACACGCGACCGGGAGTGTCGCAGACCTCCCGCCGGCCGGCCGTGGCGTGTGACCGGCGATAAAAATTACCGCAGGACGCCGCAGACCTTTGTAAGGCAGGGAAACACTGTCCTACGACAGACATTTTTGCCCTCGTACGAATCGGGCCTAAAGAATAAGCTAGAAGAGCGTGGAAGTGTTGCGTGTCAAGCGTTGATGTCGTCGCTCACGTCTTGGGCACTCGACCATTTATAGTTTGACAACAAGCCAACAGACGAGACAACAGGCCAGAAAGTCCAATCAGCGTCGACGCGACTCACTGCGCGAGAACACTACAGACCTCTACATGATAGCCTGGTAGACAGGCCATCGGAGGCTCCTCGGTATATCTGCGATACTGAGAGTACTGCCTGCCCGCCCTGGTCCACTACGGAACGCTGGGGTACTTCTAGGGATCGGTTTCAATTATGAGTTTTGCCTACAGGACGGCAAGAATTAGAAAATGAGAAAGGCCGACTGCAAAGATCTAGCGTTTCAGGAGAGGCCCTGGGCCGGTAAAACACCCTAATGCTTCGGTCCCTATTGAAAAAAGGAGCCCTGTCAGGCAGTTCTCGGGCTGGTTTTTTTTTTGCACTTTCGGGCGTGACCCTAACGTGGCCCCGCGGGACACCCTGCGGTACCGGGCTATTTTTGGGCCCGTCTGGGACCCGAGAAGAATTTAACTCTGGCCCCGCTGACATAAAGACGCCGTGACCTCATCGTGAGAACACCGAGAGGTACCCCTCCGGTTGCCGGCAGTCCATCGGGACACATTTGTTACGTCACAGACAAGGGGAACAGAATAATGGTGTGTACTTCGTAAACCCGGGTAAAATATGTGACGTCACAGATCAAATGATCACAACAAAAGTGGGAATTCTGCATTACGTATAGGTCAGTACAACACATCGTCAGAGAATCTGCCGGGTACCTGCCGGGCGGAGACCGACCAAAGAGGGTGACAAAATTTTTAACAAAATGCTACTGAAGGAAACTTTTAATTGTGACCACGACAGCCGATGCCCGCCCGACTCCTGAGCCCGACCGGGACCGGCCGGGGCTACATCCCCAACGGGCACTGGTGCAATTGGGACCGAAGCTTCAGCCGGCCTGGGGAGAACGGTTACCAGGCTACGATATACCCGATTTGGTCATTACTGATCTCATAACGTCTTCGCAGAGTTCGAAACACAAGGATATCCTTCGGCGGTTAAAAGACAGTAGCTACAAGAAAGGGCTAGTTTGAGACAACGCATAATCGAGAAAACCGGATCAAGCTGATAAAAGTTTAAATCTAACAACATTTGGCGGATAACCATAAACAATTGTCTTAATTGATGGAAGCAAACAGAAAACGGTGAAACGCACGTGTGTACAAGCTTACATATACAGTGGACAATATGGTAATCAAACTATGGTAATCAGCCTGGATTCGGGCCTGTAACACATCCCTATATCCTTATTTCATTTCATTTTTATTTATTTACCCAGGATAAACATGTCGCCGCAAGGGCGTTTTTCAATGTTCCCTGCGGACATTACAATTATTAGCTTAAAATAACAAACAGGAAACAAAGGTACAATTAGCTTAATTGCAACAAATGAAATAAATAAAGAGGATAATGGGAATTTGCATATTAATGTTACAAAACAAAAGTAACGGTTACTATGTTGCGAGAACATTCTGGTTATACAAACGCTTAAACGAGGCGACGGAAGCTGCTGTATATACCCCCGGTACCCAATACGTCACCGTTTGGCCGGCGAAAAAGGTACCGGTACAAAAAAAAGCCCGATGAAAGGGAACAGGTCCTGAAAACTCGTAAAACCCATTCAAAATAAGAGGGTCTGCATGGGGGGGGGGGGGTCCTGGCAACGGTTAGCGGTAAATTCAGCAGGGCCGATAACGCTTAACGGTAAATTCAGGACGGTCGGCAACGCTTAACGGTAAATTGACAGGCTTTTTTTCGAGCTGCACTGGCTTTGGTATCTCTCTTTGGTATCTAACATGTAATGAAGAACGCATTAAATCATTAAAGGTATGTGTTCCCAGTGTTTCCCACCTGCCCTGGTCCCCTGGTGTGTCCACAAATAAAGGCTCTACCCAGCTTGACTTTTTTTCCGACCGCCAAGTTTTACCATGGATTTTTGAGAGTAGAGCGCCGAAGGCGCTCGCAATCTAAGGGTGTCCGAGGGGGTGCTCCCCGGGAAATTTAGGATTTTTAAGCCTTCAAAAACGCAATTTCCCGCATTTTGAGAGGTTGACGGATTCGTAAAAAATTCTGTAACGCTCCGCAAACTTCCGGTAATTGACGGAAAACTGGTGCTGGCTAGAGCCGAGGGGGACCGAGCGTAGAAGGCGCGAGTCGAGCGCCAAAGGCGCGAGCAATGAAGAGGGGTCCGGGGGCATTCTTCCCCGGGAAATTTTGTATTTTTGAACCTTCAATGATTCATTTTCCTGCACTTTGAAAGGCAAAATTAGGCGTAACGAAGAATTATTCATTAACGCTTAACGCTGAATTTAGGATGACAAATAACGTTTTACGTTGAATTAAAACGACCAATAACGCTTCACGATGGATGTACTGATAACGCTTAACGTTGAATTAGAGCGGTCCGGTAACGATTAACGGTAAATTAAAATAGCCCATAACGGTTAACGAAAAAGGGCATGCAGACCCTCAAATAAGTCTCAATCTGTGCTTGCAGTGTAAAAAAAACTACGGCACGATTGTCGACATTTGTGATATCTTTTCAGTCACGAGGCTACAATAAATAAAAATCCACTAAGCTAAAGTTGATGTAAAATATAACAACATTTTGCGGATAACCAT